GACGATTTGTGGCGGCAACAATTGTTACATTCTCTAGCGACTCAACGCCATCCAATTCGGTCAATAGCTGGGTAAGTACTCTTTCTTTAACTGAACTACCAGAGCCCGAAGAAGAGCCATCCGAACGTTCACCACCTATAGCATCAATTTCATCAAAAAATACTATGGCCGGTGCTACTTGTCTAGCTTTGCGAAAAACTTCTCTTACAGCCCTTTCGGATTCACCTACCCACATGGAAAATAATTCTGGTCCTTTGATAGATAAAAAGTTGAGTTGGGATTCCGTGGCTAAAGCCTTGGCAATCATCGTTTTGGAACAGCCTGGGGGGCCATACATTAATAGGCCTCTGGGTGGTTTAATACCTAATCTTTGAAACTGTTCGGCATGTTTTAGAGGCCACTCAATGGCTTGCTTTAATTTTAATTTCAGTTCATCTTGACCTCCTATATCGGACCATTTTATATTGGGACATTCTATTAATACCTCACGCATGGCAGAGGGTTTAACATATTTTAAGGCATTATTCATATCCTCAACTTGTAGCTGTACTGAAGCGGTGGTGGCATTGTGATGCAATGACTTTAAAGTAGCATTGTAAATTAGATTGGCTAAATCGGCTCCCACAAAACCGTGAGTTACCTGTGTAATTTGCTGCACATCTTTTAAAGACAAATTATGATTTTCCACCTTTCTCAGCAAACATTTTAGTATATCTTGGCGTCCCTCGGGTGTTGGAGCTGCCACCTCAACTTCACAATCTAATCTACCACATCTCCTGATACTGGGGTTTAACATTTCCAACTGCGAAGTGGTAGCTAAAACAAAACATCTTTGAGACTCGCGTTTATGGGCCAGCGAATCCATCATATTGAGAAAAGCCACTGAAACTCGTTTAACCACTTCATTGCTTTCGTGTTTAGGACATAAATTGTGTACATCTTCTATGACCATTAGTGTAGGCTGTGGATAGTGTTTATAAACTTTATCGAAATAAACAGCCAAGTTTTTTTCTGTTTCTCCTAGGAATTTACTAAATAATTCGCTGGTGTTTAATTTCAATATTAATGGTTTGAAGGAGGATTTTCCTTGTAGTTCCTGTTTCTGTAGCAATCTACTACACATAGCCTCACAAATCATAGTTTTACCACAGCCCGAAGAGCCATAAATTAATAAGCCACGAGAAATTTTGACACCTGCAAAAGAATTTTTAGTTAAACAAAAAGAAAGCATGTAAGTTTTATTTTACATATCATTAAAAATTATAAAAAAATCAAAAATCCTTAAATCGTTCTGTAAATATTGTATAAATAAAAAACTATCTTATAACAATATGACTTTTTTAAATTGCAATAGAAGTAATTAAACAATTAGAACCATCTAAGCTCTATGTTAATTTATAAAAAAAAAACTTTTCCACCAACCTTGAGGAATTCTCCTTAAACCCAATGCAAAATCTATAGCTTCTTCGATGATTTCCAACTGTTTGCTTAAACCACCGATATCGTTTTTTGTCACCAAATACCTTGATAAATCGTCCGATTCATCATCGGAGTTGGGAATATTTTCCGATGATACTTCTATGGTTGTTGAATTGGTCACCTTAAAAATATCCTCGCAAGGTGAATGTTTATTAATGTTTAAATCATTTAAAGATTTCTCCAAAACATTAGATGGATCGTCATTATTACTATTGCTATTTAAAGCTGACCAGTAAATAATCTTTAAAGTTAAAGATTTATTAAAGAAATTAAAATATACCACCGAGTCTAGGGTAAATGATAAATTTCTTAATTCCAATTTTAATAAACGATCAACATCTTTGAGTTGCTGACTATTTAAGGGTTCATCATCTTGACTAGTTGTTTGTATTTGTAATAGTAAAGTTTTAGCTACTTTTGGTTGCCCAGGAGGCACCGACTCAATTTGTAAACATTGGCCTTTCAATGCCGTCCAATAAGTGTTGTAATCTGTGCACAATTTTAAAAATAAATTAACAAATACTTTAAAGGTCTAATTTTTAATAATTTACCATCTTCGCTAACAAATATGGTGGTTAAAAACTTTTCCGGTATGGGCCATATGCTACGCACTAAGGAAAATGTAGTTTTGCTCTTTATCACTACCTGTTGTCCAATATGCCAACCAGCCAAACGTATAGCTCCTTCCGATATAAATATCAAGTTATTTACATACTTTGCTGGCATTTCTTTTAGCTCATCTATTTCAAATTTACGTTTTTCATAACTGCCCGTATACAATATCCTCTTTCTAATATATTCCAAATGCTCGCCTTTATCCGTTTCAATTTGTTGCTCTTGTATGGGACATTTTTGTTCATGTTTTTCACGTTCTTTTGTTGTAATATGTACATCACACTTTTCACAGTGATACCAGGAGGGAGTAGCACTGGCAGCATTCTTTTTGTTCGATGATTTAGGAGGCATTTTTTGAGGATTGTTAAGAAAAATTGTTTATGTTTACAAAACACATGCACTGTTTTATATGTTTGTTTATTATTTACATTTATCCGTTGTCCACATTGTGCGTCATTCACAATAGTTTATTAATGAACAGATGTTTTTACTTTGAATAATTCAGGGATGGGATATTTAAATGAATAAAAAATCGGTACTGAAACGGAAGTAAATAAAATCGGTTATTTCACAATAATGTGGTGGTATTAACTTTTTCATGGTAAAAATTAATCAAACTATCTGAGACTTAAGCGAGCTTTAATGCAAAATGCTAAATATCATGGAAATTACATTACTTACTGCAAAAAAATTATTACCGGGATATATATGATAAAATAAATTAACAACTAATATTTTTCACTTTTAGAAATGATTATTCAAATGTATAATATATTCTTTATTAACACATATTTTAAATATAAATGTGGTACATACATACATATAGTATGATATAAGTGTGTTATTAATATACAATTGATAAACTTATAGAGAAATTCAATCTTTTTTTTGTTAATATATACGCTGAAGAGAAAAAACTTAAAAAGAAACAAAAACCAAATTATTTTTATGTGTACTCGTAATATATCGTTATTATATAAATTATATAAAGTATTTTAGTATCAGTATTAAACTAGCTAAATTGTTTGTATCAATTGGGACGAATTAATTACATTTTAATCCAAAAACACTTTACTGCAATAGCAAATCAGTTTCGAGAGCGTTAGCGGCCATTAAATCGTTACCCAATTGAGATGTGGCGGCGACTGAGCTAGATGTTTGTTTTGTTTCAAATTGTGTCGTTGTGTCGGCGGCGGCGTTGGCGCAGGAGGCTGTTGTTATACTAGAACTTTGGTTAAGGAATAAATCAAAATCGTAAAAACCATTTGGTGAGGTGATCTTATTTAGGCATGGTGTTGAGGAAATTGAGCTAGAACTTAAGTCTATGCCCAATAAACCAAGATCCTTAAGCAATTGATCATTCTCATTGGCTGTTTCCGTCATTAGATTATCAGCTGGATTGTCTGTTAGGCTCAAAATATCTTGTACTTTTGCTGGAACATTAAGTATAGGAGCTGGCTGTTCGACTGCTTCGAGACCGCAGATAACATCAGCTCTATCATCAGCTGGCGTTAAATTTTTAGCTTTTGTTTTGGAAACTTGATTTTGTTCTTCTTCCTCGTTATCATCCAATTTTTGTGGTTCTAAAACACTGGATTTATACTGGAAGTCGGTATCTTTAAAATCCACCTCTATGGGAAATAGATTCGGTATAGTATCCATTCTTTCGGTAATGGTCTTATTCAGTTTAGCCAAACTGTCGAGCAGATTTCTTAACTGCTTCGACAAATCATTGGCATGTTTACATTCCAACAGTTCCATTTTTTCCAAAACATCTGTTCTCAGTTTGGCAAATTTACCCCTGGCATCTTGACGACATCTTAATATTAAACGATATTCATAGTTGCCGGTTTCAACACGGTATAATGGTTCCTGTATGGCGGCAAAACTATGTTCCTCATCATCCATTTCTTTGACTTTTAAACAATAGGATAAATAGGTAAATTTGGCATCCATATAACGTCTCACAGTTAGTTTCGTATCGGGTATGGCCTTGTGAAGATATGTGCCCAAATCATCGAGTATGGGTTTTATATTTTTAATGACATCTAAACCGTCTTTCTCTAAATTACGATGTAATTCACCAAACATACGAAAAGCTTCGGAAGCTCTTAGCTGTGGTTCTCTAGTGCTGATGCGCATAAAGCAATCGCCAAACGCGCGATAAGTTTGTAAGAGATCATAATAGGCTTTGAGCATACGCCGAGCATGATCCACCATGCCTTTGTACATCATCTCCGTGCCCTCCAATTCTTCTAAGCGTTTCACTAAAGAGTCATTGCATAAAATTGCCCTAGACAAACCCAATGTATCGGCTGTATTACTAGACATATTATCTACTATACGATGTTTAAGTTTCTTTAATATAATATCCAGGGATTTTCCTCTCTCCGGATCGGCGTGTAGTTTATTGTAGTGTATGACTACTTGTTGTGTTGCTGTCTGTATCATCTTGGCCACTTGTACTTTTGTTTTGCCTTTTACACTTGTATTATTTATGGCCAACAGTTCATCGCCGCTCTCTAAAGAACCTTCTCGGGCTGCTGGTGTACCATCAAATACCTGAAATTTAATTTTTAAACAGAGTTAAGAAGAGAAATTATTAAAAATGGAACATAATAGTTACCTGTACTATGTATAAACAAGGACATAACGGCGCTCCTCCACCTATGCTTATACCAATTAGATTGGTATCATCTTTTACTACAACCACTGATTTGGTGCTAACGGTCATGCCCCTAATAAATATAGAAATTTATAATTATTATACAACGGTTTCAATAAAAACATTATTACAAATTAATGGAAAGTAGATATAAAAAATAAAAACATGGAAAAACAAGCGGGGTTTATAAAGCAATATAGTAATTAGCTATATATGTACATACATATGCATATGTATATATAAACGATCTAATACATACTCTTAGTAGACGTAGTCCATTTCTATATAATTTCTTTGCAATATTTTAGGATCAGTTATTAATTTTATGTATCGATATATCTTATTTTCTAGATTATTTGTAACTGGACCAATTAAACTAATAGTTAATTAATATTTACAAATAAAATTAGTAAAATTTTATTATGATAAACCTACTTCCATACTAATCATGCAGTGTATCAAATTTTCTATTACGATAATGAAAGGGATATAAAGAAAGAAGTGATCTTTGAAGAATCTAAGAAATAGTTTTTACGAAAAATTAAAATTAATTTTCTTCCATAATCTACGATACAAGGTATTTAATATATTCCCTTGATATACAAACACAAAAAAATGGTCGACTAAAAAGTGTTATCCTAAAAAGTAGCCAAAAACGTGCAAAATATGATTTTTTTCTATAAATTTATAATTGTATATTTCACGAATATAACAGTTCTTTTGTTTTCCTGTAGACTAGACTTTTTTGAGTTGGAATTTTTTAATGTAGTATCTCTTAACGTTCATTTATTGTCGAGTTTGCACACATTTGTCATTCTAATGTTGCAATTAGTAATCGATAAAATCACTCATGAATCATTATTGTAAAATATAATTTATTCGTATACATGTATTTTTAAGAATCCGGTTAATTGATATTTAACAACTATTTTTGATCTCTAGCAATACTAATAAGAAAATAAGTACACACTCGTGTTCGCATTTCAACAACTACCACTTACAATCTTTCTAATTCGAATTTTTGTTTAGCAAGTTCACTAAACCTATCAGCCTCAAAAGCTGACGCAGTATAAACAACGGTGGCAGTCACATCACTAGAAAGCAAATTATCATCGACGAGTTGACAAACGTTTGCAGTTGAATCATCAGTATCTAAAGTTAATGACGATTCCTCTGTAGTGCCAGTATTAGTGGAATCATTGGCAGAAGCTAATTCCGTAATTGGTGGTGCTGATGATGGCATGTTCAATAATTCACCCATTTTAGGTTCAAATGGATCCGTACATATCGGTGTTATGTCAAAGCTTTGAAGTAAAAACACAATGTAGGTTAAAATGCTGATATCGTTCACCCACATTTCGTACATATCAAATGAAAGTGTTCTTTTCAATGAAAGTGTTACTTACGATAAGGCCTCTATGGGTAGTAAAGGTGTAGTAGTATTGTCTTCCATTGCTGATTTTGAACTTTTTTATTGTTAATTTGTATACAATATATTTACAAATGTTTTTTTTATTTTTGTTTAATTTTTTTATAAATAAAATACCAAAAAAGATGTATAAAAAGATTTTGTGTGTTTTGCAAAAGAAATAAGAATATATTGTAAGTATTGATTTGTAACCAACAACTTAAAAAAAACACAACATCGAAAATTTATAAGACACTCCAGTAACACTCATACACATGCACACACTCTCTCATACCCATGCAAAATTCCAAAAATATTTAATCAACCACCCCATCACAAACAAGAACATTCAACATATGTTGAATAATTATTTTCGGTACGAGTAAAGAAACAAACATAAAATAGCTAAAACTTACATTTTATCTTCTTCAAAGAAGAAATCATCATCTAAATCCGTTAACATTTTGTATATTTAATTTGTTTTTAATAAGAAATTCCAATATGAACCGTTAAAAATAAACAAAAAAATTGTTAAAAATTTAATTTTTCTTTTTGCGGAAACACAAGAGAACCATATAGCACAGAATTGAAGTATACTTTTCGGGGTGCATTTACTGATAACAAAAATAATAGAAAAAATCTAAATATTCACAATAACAATGACAGTTGTCAATGTAAATAACTAAAAGCAGGGTTGTTAAATGTTTGTTTGCCACTAATCAGAGACCCGCGCTAATTCGGCTTTAAGACGACTAAGCCTAGCCGCCGAATAAAATGTCAAAGCCGGCGCCGCCTCCGAAAATTTTTCAGCTTAACAGCTTGATTACAATTGGAACTGCTGTCGACAAACCGCACAAAAAGAGCGAGCGACGAATTAAAATTAAGCGACTGTCGACAGACCAATTTTTTGGCGTTTAAAAGAAAAAAAAATCAAAATTAGAATTATTTTTTCAAAAATAAATAGGAATGATACAAAAATAACTCAGAATAGTATACGGGAACTATGGATGCTAATCCCGAAATCACGATCCCGAAAACCCCGGGATTTTTCGGGATTGGTAAATCCCGAATCCCGGGATTTCTCTAAAGAACTTCTTTCTTTCGGATTCGGTTTACATACCATACAGAACTATGTAATATTTTTTTGGCCAAATTGTTTTAAATAAATAAAATATCCTATTAGTACACTACCGTTACCACTAAAATACCATTACCAAAATATGCCAATATACCGATAACACTAAAGTACAGATACCGCTACCGAGTTAAGCCAAAATACCAATACCTTATGACCGTTTCAAAAAGGTTGCTATCATTGTTTATAGGTCTTCTT